GAGCAATCCAAAATCTTTGGGATGCAGCAAACCCTGTTCTAAGAGAAAACTTAATAGCAATACAAGCCTACCTGAAGAAACAAGAAAAAATGTTCTAGACTAGAACATAAACAAATTAAATAGAGACTAAAGAAACAGTGCAAAAGATCAATGAAACCAGGAGCTGGTTCTTTGAAACTATAAATAAAATTAAAAACCCTTAGCCAGATTCATTAAGAAAGAAAGGAGACTCAGATACATGAAAATAGAAATGAAGGAGAAATAACAACTGACACCACACAAGAACAAATTAATATAAGAGAATTTTATGAAAATGTATATGCCAACAAACTGGACAACCTATAAGAAGTGGATAAATTCTTAGAAACATAATTTTCCAAAATTGAATCAGGAAGAAATAGAAAATTTGAACAGACCAATTAATGAAATTTTATCAGTAATCAAATATAATTACCAACAAATAAAAGTCAGGGCCAGATGGTTTTATAGGTGAATTCTACCAAATATTTAAAAAAGAGTACTACCTATTCCTCTCAAACTATTCCAAACAATAGAAGAGGAAGGAAACTTCCAAATTCATTCCCTGACTCCAGCATTACTCCAATACCAAAACCAGACAAAGACACTAAAAAAAAAAAAAAAAAAAGAAAGAAAGAAAGAGAGAGAGAGAGAGAGAGAGATAGAACTACAGGCCAATATCCCTGATGAAGATAAATGAAAAAATTCCAAACAAAATATTCAACAATACACTAAAAACGCACCCATCATGGTCAAGTAGGATATATCAGGGATGCAAGAGTGCTTCAGTATTTACAAAACAATCAATGTGATACATCACATTAATAAGAGAAAGGATATATGATCATCTCAATACATGTAGAAAAATCATTTGACAAAATATAACATCCATTCATGATAAAACCTCCCAACAAAGTGGGTTCAGAAGAAATATATTTCAACATAATGAAGGTCATAAATGAAAAACTCACAGCTATCATCATATTCAATTGTGAAAAACTGAGAACTTTTCCTCTAAGACCAGGAATAAGAAAAGATTGTCACTCCCACCATTGTTATTCAACATATTACTGGAAGTCCTAGCTGCAGGAATCAGACAAGAAAAAAAAAAAAAAAAGGAATCCAAAGTGGTAAGGAAAAAGAAAGATTTTCATTATTTGCCAATCACATGATACTATAAACCCTAAAGAATACAACAAAAAAGCTATTAGAACTGATAAATGATTTCAGTAAAGTTGCAGGATACAAAATTAATATACAGAAATTGGTTGTATTTCTATACACTACTAATGGAACAGAAAGAAAAATTGAGAAAACGATCCTATTTAATATATCACATGATATATATGTGGAATTTAAAAAACAAAACAAAACAAGAAATCAACAAAAAACAGAGACAGAATCATAAATACAGAGAACAAACTGGTGGCTCCGTGAACAAAATGGAGACAAATGGAGATGTAGACAAATGAGAAAGCAATATAGGTGAAGGGGATAACTTGTGGTTAAAAAATAAATTAGTGATGAGGACAAAAAGTACAGCATAGAGAATATAGTCAATAAAATTGTAATAACTTTGCATGCTGACAGATGGTGACTGTATTTATCATGGTGAGCATAGCATGATGTATAGAATTGCCAAATCACTTTGTGGTACACCTAAAATTAATATAACATTGTATGTTAACTCTCCTTCAATTAAAAAACAAAAAACAGTGGTTGGTTGGGATTAGCAAAAGGGATGGATGAATAGTCCAAGCAGAAAGGATTTGGGGACAATGAAACTATTTTCTGTGATACCACAGTAGTAGATACATGTCATTATACACTTGCCCAAACTCATATGATGTACATAACCGAGAGTGAATCCGATATAAACTGTGCACTTTGTGTGATTATGATATGCCTTTAAGTCCTTAACTGTAATAAATGTACCACTGTGGTCAGCGATGTTGATAACAGGGAGACTATGCATGTAAGGGGCAGAAGGCATATAGGAAATCTCAGTACCTTCCCCTCAATCCTCCCATGAATATAAAACTGCTCTAAGGCATGAAAATCTATTAAAAAAGAAAAGTTAATGAACAATACCTGGGTTTAAGACCATTTTTTGGAGCCATCTCTGTACACATTGTTTTTGAAGCTAAGTGGCATATAAAAGTTCCCAGAGAGTGTACAAACATCAGTAAAAAAGAAAACCAGTGGTGAAATTCCCCAGACCACAGGATGAGAAGTCAATGTAGGACCCAGAGAAGGAGAAGTTTTAGAATTCACAGGAAAGAATGAGCAATTCCCCAAAAACAAGAGAGAAGAGTTTCAGGAAGATGAGGAGAATTAAAGGCAACAGATATCAACGAAAATAGAGACTGAGAAGGATGTATACGTCAGAACCAGGATCACTGAGGACCAACTGAGAGTCTATGTTCTGGGCCTCTTCCCTTCTATTTTTTCCCTGGGTTTTGGTTTTTGTTTTTTTGTTTGTTTGTTTGTTTGTTTGTTTTTTCCTGACTCCTTCACCACTCATACTTTCACTTCACTAGGTACTTGATCCCATGTCACTCAAGAGGCATTTGATGAACACTTGGACAAGAAAGCAGACCTCACTGTCAATTCCAGTTTTATTATGTCACTTGCATGTACTGTATATTGTTTGTCTATTGTCTAGTGTCTGTTGTCTGCTCTACCAATGTTTGTGAAAAATGACTCTTGGTCTGTCTTACTCACTGCCACTGTCAGCAGCTACACGTGAGCCTCCAGCATGCCCAGAAATAAAGGGGCCAAAATATGTCTGTTGAACAAACAGGGAGTAGCAGAAGCCAAATTGCTGAGGTAGAGTAAGGAGAGGATATGGAGACGTTGAAGATAGGGCTTTCCAAGGAAAGAGATGCAGTGATATCAGAGGATGGGTTGATGGGACAAGTAGAAGGATATCAGAGTGTTGTGAACATATGTAGGTTGTAATGATGAATTAATGTATTATTCCTCATTAAAGACCCTTTCTGTTATATTTTGTCTTGGTGCTGATATGGTTGGTATTCATATCAGTAATGTCAATGAAGACATTTACAGTTTGTTTGTTGTAGGTAGAGATAAGATTGACAGAATCACAATTCAAAAATGTCTAAGCAATCTGTCCAAAAAAAGATAAGATTGTGAGGCCCAGACAGGGATGTAGATGCCCCCTAGAAAGCCTGACAGCAAGACATCATGACTCAGTATTGCACTAGTGTTAAGGGAACAGGTAGGGGCTAACACTCGGCTGTGTCTTCATGGGTTCCACTGCCTTCTATCCAAGTGTCCTTGGGAAAAGGTCTTAAACTCTCTTGGCCTCATTTTTTCCTATTTGAGTTAGAGACACTAATATCTACTTGGCATAATTTTTATGAGGTCAGCTGAGATAATCCATGTAAAATGATCATGGAAGAGCCATGATACATGTTTAAGTACATGATTATCAGTAGATATTTTGTGTGTCATAATGAGAAATACATTTAGTCTTTGTCCCCAGTTCCTGCACAGAGCTTCTAAAACCCTTGGAATGTCCTAAGTGAAGCAGCCTCTTTTCCTATTCAAAGGAGCCCTTTCTGATCACAGGTAAGTTTATAGTAATGAGGTGACTGAAGGTGGGTCCCACAGATAGCCTTGGGATGGGGCTGGTCACCAGAATGATCAGGTGGTTGGTGAGGTGGAACTTTCAGCCCGTCCACCAACCTTGAAGAGGCAGAAAGGAGGAAGACTGATCAAACTCTATAAAATCTCTTAAACAATGAGATTTGGTGACCTTATGGGTTGGTGAATGCATCCATTGCTGGGAGGGTGAAATGCCCCAAATACATGGGAACAAGTGTCCCTGTGCTCCGGACCCTTCTTGACTTCACCCTGTATCACTGTTTATATGTATTTTTTATAATATCTTTTATAATAAATGTAACTGTAAGTTGTGTTTCCCTGATTTCTGCGAGGGGTCCTAGCAAACTTTAAAACCTGAGGATGCGGGTGTAAAAACCCCCAGGTCATAACTGAGTCAGAAAGAAGTGCAAGTAACCTGTGCCACTACTTGCATTGATATCTGATATTGCCAGTGTGGGAACATGTAGGACTAGGTCCTTAACCTGTGGGGTCCACACTACATCTGAGTAGATAGTGTCAAAACTGAATTCACTTGTATGGCACCCAGTTGGAAGTCTGCAGAGATTTGGTTGTTAATGTTAGAAAACACACCAGAATTTCACGTTATTATTTACTACAGAATTCCAATATGAAGTTGTGATCTGATGTGACTGCCAGAAACATAAGGAAATCAGAGTTTCCCTCTGTGACAGTTACAGGGCCCTGCCACAGGAGGTGAAAATTGCACCATACATCTCTAGGAGTATCAGGTTCAGGTCTGGGCAATGTACTTCAAATAGGGACACAAACAGAACAACCCTTCCCTAGGACAACATGACTATGTAGGTGAAGGCGTGAAGCTATATCCTTCTTGAGAATTTAGAGATGTCCAGGCAAGGGAGGAGAAGGCCTAGAATGTGAGTGTTGTCTCTGGGGAACTGAGATCAATACCTCTCAGCAGAGCCCTGGGTAGCAGAACAAGGACGAACACACAGAAACCAAACGTGTTATGTAGAAATAATAACTCTCTCTTACTGCAATGGCCGCATATGCAGCAATGGCTGGTGTGCTTGGAAGAGTCCACACATGAAACCAATGACTATCCATGTGAATGTCTGAGAAACAATGGTTTCCCTCAGTGGGGGATTGAGCTGAGCAATCCGTAAGGTTTCTTTCAGTTCTATAGTCATAAATACCTTACCAGTAGAAAGTAGTATCTAGTATTCCAACCTCTTCACATACTGTCTCCTCCATTCTCTACCCTCAACTCTGTCTGATCTCATCCTACTACAGAACAATCCTCGTCCATGTTTCCCAAGCAATACAACCCTGAAGAGAAGCTGATTTCTGCTGAGATACCAATGAAGACTTACCCCAGTTTCTGCAGCTTACATTGTGGATGCTTTGCTTTTTCACATAGAATTCCAACTCCTGCATCTCCCAGGGCATTTTCCCCCAAGTAGAGTCTGGTCAGAGACTGGTTGGTGCTCAGGACGGATGCAAGGTCCTCACAACATGCTGATGTGAGACAGCAACTGACCAACCTTCCATAAAGATGGCAGAATGTCATACATTTCTCTCACCTCACTGTCTGTGAGTCACGGAAGCACTTGCTCCAATGCTGCTTCTAGTCCTTTCCAAACATGGGAAGAGTGTCCAAACTGTATATTAACTGTTTATTTCCTTTTGTTTGGTGTAATAGCAAGTAAACACCTTCCAAGCCATGTCAATACTCCATCTCATCAGCTTTTTTTTATCACTTTTTTTATTGTGGTAAAATATACATAACATAAAATTTACCATTATAATCCTTAAGTGTACAAGGTAAGTGTAACCTTAGGTGTTAAGGTAGCATTTAATACCTTCTCATTGTTGTGTAACTGTGACTACCATCCATCTCCAGAAGTTTTTCATCTTTCCAAACTGGAACTTAGTACATACTGAACACTAACTCCTCACTCCTCTCTCCCCCAGCCCCCAGGACCCACTATTCTATTTTTTGCCTCTATGAGTTTGATTATTTTAGGTCATTCCTGTAAGTGGAATCCCACATATCTGCCCTTTTGTGTATGGCTTATTTTAATTAGTATAATGTTTTCAAGATGCATCCATGTTGCAGCATGTGTCCGAATTCTCCTGAAGGCTGTATGCATATATCTACCACATTCTTCTACCCCCAACCTCCCCCCTTACCGCATGTTTAATCCATTCATTCATCCATGGGTATTTGAGTTGTTTCTACTTTCTGGCTATTGTGAATAATGCTGCTATGGACACAAGTGTACAAATACAGGTTTAGATGCCTGATTACACTGCTTTTTATATACCTGTAAGTGAAATTGCTGGATCATATGGTAATTCTATGTCCACTTTGAGGAACTGACATACCAGCTATACTATTTTACATTCCCACCAGCAATTATGATGGTTCCAATTTCTCCTCACCTACACTTTTGTTTTGTTTTAATAATAGCCATCCTAATGCGTGTGAATTGGCCCTACCATTTTCAAGTGCTTTCTCTTATTCAAAATTTAAGTCTCCCAGAAACATTTAGTGAAGGGCTTCATAAAATATCAAGTGTGTTAACACCTCTTTTCCTGTTTTGTGTGGAGACCAAGAGCTTGTCATAAAGTCCCAAAACTCTCCTGGAGCAATGCATTACACTGGTTGTATTTTCTCAGCTCAACTGTAAATACCTTAAAAGTGAGCATGATTCGTTTGATTACTTAAGTTCCTTCTAAGACTTAGTATATGGCTCTTCCCCCAACAAACACTAACTGAATGAATTACTGATAAACACCTGGAAATCTTCTGAGCAGTGAAGGCTATTCTCATGCTAAAACTGTAGCACATCATAGATCCCTGAAGCCACAGCTCTTGTTTCCTGAAGGAAAATAGCTCAGACTCACCAAAGCTTCTTCAGATTGCAGAATAGATGCTTCAACCCCACACAAAGAAGTCTAATTCCAAAGTCTCCCAGGGCATTGTGGCTCAGATCCAATTCCATCAGCTTCTGGTTGCTGCTCAGGACCGAGGAGATGTTGAAGCAGCAGTGATGGGAAAGGCAACACCGCCCCAACCTTCATGCCAAGTACAGAAGCATAAAGCATCAGAACACAGGCTGCTTCTCTGACACTGCCTTCTGGTCTATGCTAGTTTTCAGCACCAAATGGGGCGATTTGTGGTCTCATGTTACAAAGGGAAAATTTTAAGGAAAGAAGTTAGGTGAGAGTATGATCTTACCAGAACTCCCACATGCAGGCTGAGACTTATTGTGAAGTTAGTTCCCAGGCTTATGAACTCATAGCCTGAGACCACAACCACTGTGTGTATCAGTGAACTCCCTCCATAAATAATGGCCAGCTCTACAATGTATACAGGCATGTCCCTGTTTTATAAATGAAAAAGGAGGTAAATCTGTGTGTTCCACCTCTGTATCATATGTTCTTCACCGCGAAAATCCCTCAGGTGGACACTGATCTCTCTGGGGTTTTTTACTTATCTACTTCTCTGTCAATCTTGTCTCCATTGTTCTGTTTAATGATTAAATCCCAGCCCTCCACCTACACCAAAATAGCAAGAAGCTCTGTATCTTGATTTGATTTACAACTCCACCCCCCACACACACACACAGACACACACAAAGACACCATTATCACCATCATCAACAACAACAACTAGGAGTCCCTGTGTCAGAGGAGCAAGAACATTCTTCTTTCCAGATGAATACTTCATCATCCTAGAGCCTGTTAAACATCTTCCTTTATACCCCTATCTTCACACCAACTAGAGCTAAATGCATGACTAAACCTCTATTTACTTGCAGAATATCTCATCATCACCCATGTCTCTCTATTTGTGTCTCACTCTATGGAATCACACAGTGGTACCTGCCAGGATAGTGGGAAGACTGGCATGGGATAGAGAAGGCAAGGAGCCAAAACCAGCCAGAGCCTTGAAGGCAAGAGGAGGATTTGTAATTTATCAAAAGAACAAAGAGCATTCAAGCAAGGGAATGACATAATTAAAGTGGAATTTTCTAAATAACCCTCTGACTTCTGTATGGAGAATAGGTTGGTGCTATACGGAGAATAGTTAGGTGGTAAAAGTGGATGTGGGAAAACCAAACAGTTAGTAGTCACTCAGTATGTATTTTTGAGCACTGATGTGTGCTAAGACACTTGTCCAGACATTGTAAGGACAGTGGAAAGATGAACACAAATCCTGTCCCATGATCTTGAATTGTATTGCAATATTATGGCAAACGGTCATGGTTACTGGGCCTGAGCTACTGGTTTGTATAGGAGATAAAATTGATAAAGTTGATGTTAGGGTGGGTATAATGATCAAGAAAGGGATGTATGAAAACACCCTGGAGGGATGGACTTTAGTGCTGGCTATGTAGCTCATCAAAAATGCAGATGTGTGATGGAAGAGTGTTTGTAGGATGGCCCAGACACTCGTGTATTGTCTTGGGGAATGTGAGTCTGATTCACAGTGTGAGTCCAGAGCAAGCACTCTTTATTAAGAAAGTTAGAGTTAGAGAGGAGAAGGGAGTTGAGGGAAATTGGAAGGGGAGGTGAACCATGAGAGACTATGGATTCTGAAAAACAGTCTGAGGGTTTTGAAGGGGCGGGGGGTGGGAGGTTGGGGGAGCCATGTGGTGGGTATTGGAGAGGGCATGGATTGCATGGAGCACTGGGTGTGGTGCAAAAACAATGAATACTGTTACACTGAAAATAAAGTAAAAAAAATTTTTTAAAGTTCATTAAAAAAAAAGAAAAAAAAAGCTGAAAGAGATTCTCTGTGACATTTCAACCTATATAAAATGTTTTGATGGGGTCCAGCCCAGGTAGACATTGTATATGATGAAACTCTCCAATTCTCAGCCGTGATGATGGCCAGTGAAGAAAAAGAAGATATTGAAGGCCATGCACTTTTTGTCCTATCACCAAGAAATGGCTTACTTTCAGTTCTCCATCATTCTTCCCCATTTGAAGCTTTCTAAACAACTGACCTCCAATCCATTTTACCTTCCTACTTGTTATGGGCTGAACTGTGTCCATCCCTCCAAAAAAAAAATCATATGTTGAAGACTTAATCCCTAGGATTTCAGAATTGTGACTATATTTGGAGATCAGGTTTTAAACCCTTAAATGAGGTCATGAGGACAGGCCCCAATCCAACATAACTGGTATCCTTTAGGAAATCAGACACGAACACAGAAACCACATGAAGACTTAGGGAGAAGACCACCATCTACAAGCCAAAAAGAGAGACTTCAGGAGAAACCAATCCTGCTGACACCTTCAGCTTGGACTTCCAGACTCCGGGACTGTGAGAATATGAATTTCTATTGTTCAAGCTTCTTGTTCTCTGGTACTTTGTTACAGCAGCCCTAGAAAACTAACAAACCTCTGATCTGGACCCTGAGGTCTTCCTCCACTATGCTCTCTGTGTCATTCACAGATATGCGGGCACACATGAACGCACACACACACAGTTTCTTACCACAGTCTCCGAATATTACAGCCAGGTCGCTGGAGCATTTCACATAACACCTGTACCCCTGGGTCCCCCAGAGCATTGTCACTGAGGTTCAGTTCAGTGAGGTTCAGTGAGTTAGTGCTTAGGACTGAGAAAAGCCCCTGCCAAAGGCTGAGAGTGACATGACAATTCACCAACCTAGAAATTGTAGGGAAGGAAGAAAGAAAAGAAAATCAGGAGTGTCTGGCCCCAGTTCAAAGACTTCCCAAGGATTAAGAACTGACTCACAGGACCAAAGATTGCCTACTAAGGAATGACAAAGACCAGGGGGCCCTGGTAAGACTGTCCTGCATACCTTATTATAGAAACAGCATGAGTCTGTGACTGGCTGCCTTGGCACACCCTCCAGTACCTCCCTCAGATGTCTTTCTCCTCCCTCTGTCATCAGACAGCTGTCCTGCCCATGGCCTTGTTTTCTGTTAAGTGATCCAGAGACTACACTGTGAGATCCAGATCTCAGATCTCACATTGGCTGCATAATAGCATCACCAATGCTCTCAAAAGTCCCGAGGCCAGGCCACACCATAGGACTAAAGTCAGAATCTCTGAGGCAGGACCAAGTATATCAATAGTTTTAAGACTTCCATATGGTTCCAACATGCAGTCCTTGTTAGAATACAGATTCTGGCTCTGTGTGTCTAAGATTGGGCCTGCAATTCTGCACTTTTGACAGCATGGGGTGGATATCCAGGCTGCTGGTCTTCAGAAGGTTCTGGAACACACAAAGTAAGCTCCTGCCCTCAGAAGAAGGTAGCTGTCACCCAATCAAATGGGCATCAGGCTTTTCATCAGGAGTTTTAATTCAAGTCTCTGCCAGCCTTCTTTATAGCTCTGTAATCTTGGTCAGGTTTCTTTCCAACATAGTTTTTAGGGCCCTAAGAAACAGATGTGCTTCCTTCCCTCGTTTCCTTTCTCTCACCCTCTCTAAGTTTTCTGAATCATTTGCCATCATAGGGACATACTTGTTTCCCCAGCCTCTGCCCTCTGAACCCACTGTTCCCTCTGTTTGAGCTGCCCCTTGCCCACACTCAGGTTTCTCATACTCCATGTGTCAGAGTCCAGCTGTTCAAGGGCTTCCCATTATGTGTTTCTGGTGCATTCTATATGTGTTCTTGCCATAGCCCATCCCTTCTACTGTCTGTCCTTATTTCCCAGCTATCCCCACAATTGAACCTTAAGTTGCTATGAGCAGGGCCTGGGTCTTCATTACCACTGAAGCCCCAGCAGGTGGTCCTGGATGACCAAATGATAAATTAAAAGGTCATCCTGCTAGTGATGCCAAGGATGAAAGAAGGAGCTAAAAATTCATTATTCTTGGTGGAAGGGCCAGTCCCCTTTCTCCTTAATTTTATCCCATATCAAGTGCTTTCTGTGCAGGTTAAACCCAAGCTTTCACAGAGTATCCATCCTCCCACCGTAGCTGTGGCAGTTCCCAAGCAGGGACTTCAAGTAACTGAACTGCTTTGCTGTCCCAACACACCAAAGAGGGAGCAGTTGATGACTTCCTGGTTGTAAACACAGTGCAGGAGCTTAAAAGTACCCTCTTCTTCCCAGCCCTATGTCCCTCAATTTTCCCTCATTATATCTGTTCCAATGAAGCCATGTCCCTTGGCATAGTCTCCTATGTACACTGTTCCTCAGACACCAGACTCTACTGCTAGAATCCCTTTAACTTCTCCTGCACTCACCCACATCTTACTGGTCCTTCAAGGCAGGCTCAAAACTTACTCCTCTGATAAACGTCCCCCCAGCACCCAGTACTAAAGGCCTTCTGTCCTCTGTGTTCCTGGGACAGTCACTGGGGTTGTTTGGCTCCTTGTGTGTTAACTGAATACTGTGTATTAGAGCCCCAAGTTGACTGCAAGCAATTTGAGTTTACAACATTTTTATTCAACTCTCTAACCCACTAATACCTTGTGCTGAGTTGGCATCTACCAAACACTTGCTTATTTTCTTCATTGGCTTTTCTCCTCATCCACTTATCCACCTCCCTTTCCTCTACTTGTCCATCTCTGCCACTGAAGGAGTCTAGTAGAAATCGGGGGGGGGGGTATTATTATGTAGCTGTGGCAACCATATTGTAAAGACAGTTGAGAAGCAGGCAGAAAGAACCAATGCCCAGAGAAAGGTGGCTAGATGGCAGAGGGCAGCCCTACCATTCTAATACCTGCCTGAAGGCAAATCACCTTACCGGTGAGTACAGGCAGCATGAGGATCTAGGCGGACACAGTGATCCACCTCAGAGTGCTGCATTTCCCCTTCTTCCTCCTCTTCCTCCTCCTCCTCCTTCGAGGAGTTATGAAGCAGCCTCAGGGAAAGTGATTCCACGCTGTGGCAGTTCTCAATACAAAAGGAAGAAACCACATGGTCCATTCTGGTGGAGAGACTGATCTCAATTTTGGGGAAATGGCCCATGGCTTTTTGCACAAAATCCTCCTCTTGCATCTCATACAAACAGTAGAATAATTCCAGTTGGCTGGGCTGGATCTGAAGATTCTTGGCCTTGGTTTTCTCTTTAATCCATTTTAGCAGTTCCAGCCTGATGTGCTGCGAGATCTTGCAACTCAGTTTTTTCTCCAAGTAAGAGGTTCTCTCCTGGTTTACAAGGCCAAAGAGGAAACGGACAACAAAGATCAGATATCCCTTTTCAAATTTGCCGTAGTTTTCAAGAAGGACAGTCACGTCTCGGTTGGGAAGCTTGGAACTTCTCCATGGCAGGTTCCTCAACCCTCCCTGTTCCTCCTCTTCCAGCAGGTAGTACATGGCAGCAAAGAACTCCTGGAAAGTCATGTGAATGAAGCTGTAGAATTTCTCACAGTCCACTTCTTTTTGGAATAGGTTCATCCTCAAGAAAGCAGACACATCGGCCCTCTGAAGGCCATGGTTCCTAAGGTCACACTCTTCAAACAGGATTTTCTGATTCCAGATTCCATCTGCAGCCAGTGAACAGAGACCCCGGATGTTGGCAGAGACTTGGTGCTTCTGGTTCTCTCCACGAGACTGCAACAAACTGGAGAGGAAGAAGACATACACAGCAGTGGTGGTCTTGGATGTCTGGGCAAGACTCTTGCCACTGTCCATCTGCTGCTTTAACCCAGTGCATACAATCCAGCAGACCAAGGGGATAAAGCACATGGTGAAGAGGATCTCATTCTCCTGAATCAGCCTGAAGGCCTCTGTGGCTTGTTGCTCATCTGAAAAATACTTAAAGAAATATTCCTTTCTTTTGGCCTCTGAGAAACCCAGGATCTCCACATGACGGGGACGGTCCAGCAAATGCTGCAGTTTTTCCAGAGCCACAGGTCTTGTGGTGATGAGTAAAGAGGCCTCAGGAAGGAGCCTCTTTCTGATGAGGCTGCTCAGGAGAATGTCTCCCCGCTCCACCTTCTGCCAGTTTGTGCATAGAGTCTCTGTGTGCTCATCAAAGGCACCCTGAAGCTCATCGAAGCCATCCATGAGGAAGAGAATCCTGGAAGGCTTGCTCACAATCTTATATATGGGTGGGTTTGGGTCAGGGCAGCAGCTGACGATCAGGTCCCCCAGGCTCCTCCGTGTCCCGAGGCTTACCTCCCGACAGTGGATATAAAACAAATAGTCAAACCTGTCCTGGTAAATTTTTTCTGATGCCCAATCCAACATGATCTTCCTGGCCAGTATTGTTTTCCCAATGCCTGCTGCTCCCTGGAATACCACCGTGTGAACAGGCTCTGAGTGTTGGTCATCAGGCTCAAACAGCAATTCCATATTCAGGGAACTCACAGGGCTGTCCAGCGTCCTGGCTGAAGTCCTGCCAATGGCCAGGAGCTCATGCTCCCTCTCCTGCTGGCTCTGGTGTTCTTTGACAAGACGCAGCCTGGTGTAGCGTTTGTTAAGGTTCACACTCTCACCTAGACGGGCATTCCTGTCTTTAATACACTGGAATCTGCTCCTCACGTGTTTTTTGTACTTCTTACAGTAATCTGGGGTAAAGACAGAATGGTAAAATTTGGGAGAAATCCAAGCATACATGAGCTATCAACAAAGATCTGTGTCCAGAAGGAGTGATGACCAGAACTAAGGAAAGGGAGATGCAGATTCTCTTCACTGTGTGGGTATGGACAGACCCAGAAAATCTAGGATGTCAAAATCTTCGTATACATAGTTGAGCAGGAGAACAGCAAAGTGCCATAGGCACTGTCACTTGCCAGAAAATCATTTTTATTCAGTTTTATTCCTTTAGGTAGTCTGCAACCCATACCTTTTAGAACCTGAGACACTCAATCACCTCCACTTGGTTCTGGGACTACAAGGAGCCGTGTGAACACTGATCTGTTTTTCAGCTCTAGTGGACTTTCTAAAATGGGCCTTTGCTCACCAAGGAGAAGGAACATTTAGAATGATCAAGCTTCTCAGCTTCCAAAACTGGGTTTCCAGATGCAATAGGAAGCACTATCCCCATTGCTTACCTTTCCTTTTTTTACAAATAGAGATTCTGGTTAGGTACCCCAATAAACCCATCCACTCTTCTTCAAGGCTTTCTTCCCGGCATACCACATGTACATTATCTGGAAGAAAAAAAGAAAGAAAGAAAGAAAGAAAGAAAGAAAGAAAGAAAGAAAGAAAGAAAGAAAGAAAGAAGAAAGGAAGGAAGGAAGGAAGGAAGGAAGGAAGGAAGGAAGGAAGGAAGAAAGAAAGAAAGAAAGTTAAAAATCAGGACTCCTGAATAAGGTGATGTAATTGAGACCCAGTACTCAACACCTGGCACAGCTCAAAGTCACCTATCCCAGACATCTTGCAAATAAAAACATAGCTTTGAGCTGCAGATGACAGGTGTACAGTTGGACATCCAGTTTGTGACATTTGTGCACTCCTAATTTCAAAAAACGGATGTCACTATCACTTACCCAGTTAGCATTGTGTCCCCACAGTATCCAGTCTCAGGATCTCTCCCAGGCTGAGAAATCAATCAGCAAACACATGAGACAGGCAAGGTTTCTCCTATCCTTTGTTTTTGGCAAACTTCCCTTGGTACCTTGGTTTTGAGACCATCCCCACACTAAATATCTAAATATCCCCAAAATGGCTATCGGCCAGCAGGATTCTCCTCCTCCCCTGCCCCCATATGCCTGGATTAATCATACACACATTCTGGGTCTTCAGGACAGAATTGTCAAGCTGGTTTGTTTAACTCAGTGGTTCATAATCCCTACTGACTTGAAATTCACCTAGGAAGCTTTAAAAAAGCTCCACCCCCAGTAAATATTTTTCAGTCTATCCACGGTGGTGACCAACACCATTATATTTTTTTTAATTTTTTTTATAAACATATAATGTATTTTTATCCCCAGGGGTACAGGTCTGTGAATCACCAGGTTTACACACTTCACAGCACTCACCATAGCACATACCCTCCCCAATGTCCATAACCCAACCACCCTCTCCCAACCTCCCTCCCCCCAGCAACCCTCAGTTTGTTTTGTGAGATTAAGAGTCACTTATGGTTTGTCTCCCTCCCAATCCCATCTTGTTTCATTTATTCTTTTCCTGTCCCCCAAGCCCCCCATGTTGCATCTCCACTTCCTCATATCAGGGAGATCATATGGTTGTCTTTCTCCGATTGATTTATTTCGCTAAGCATAATAACCTCTAGTTCCATCCATGTCATCGTAAATGGTAAGATTTCATTTCTTTTGATGGCTGCATAGTATTCCATTATATATATATACACCACCACTTCTTTATCCATTCATCTGTTGATGGACATCTAGGTTCTTTCCATAGTTTGGCTATTGTGGACATTGCTGCTATAAACATTTGGGTGCACATGCACCATTATATTTTGAAAGCTTCAAAATGCATCTACAGTTAAGAATCATAGATCTAAACAGTCACTAAATTACACATCCTAAAGAGGAGGCACTTCACTGGAGAAACTGAGGTACAAAAGAATGAGTGCTAAGCACCAGGGGAAATATTTGGGAGATGAAACCAATATCAACATAAAGGATTCCTGGTAGGCGTTTACTCAGTCTGAATGCAAAAGCTATTGGTGACCCCAATTACAAAACAAAATCTAAACATTAACTCAAGCCAAAATCATGACTTAATTCTTATCTAAAGCCTTACCCTATAATCTGGTCCTCCCCAGCAAAAGACAAACAAACTTCTTACTAGGTATAATTCTTCCATCTCATAGCCCAGTTATAGAAGCCAAAATAGCCTAGTGGTTAAGAACCAGACTCCAGCCAAAGACACACCCAGCATTGAACCCAGGCCTTGACTCTGACTGAAAGAGAGCCACAAACAACCAAAACCTCTTTAGGCTCAATTTACGTGGCTGGTTGAGCTCCAGGATTATCTTTTATTTGCAAACCTAAAATTCTATAGCCATTAGAAATTCCCCAGTCCCTACTCGGCAGCCCCTGGCAACAACTTCTTGTCTATAAATTTATCTACTCTAGTACCTATTACAAACAGAATCATACTGCATTTGTCTTTTCGTGACTGGTGTACTTCGTTTAGTAATGAAATTGAAAGTTCTTTCAAAAGTGCAGCCTGAAGGTGCCTGGCTGGTGTTGTTGGTAGGCCAGCCATGAAACTCTTGATCTAGAAGTTGTGAGTTCAAGCTTTACATGGGCATGTACAGACTACCAAAAACAAAAGGCAAAATGCCAGTTTTGTGGTGTTTTTATGAGGAATGATGAAAATCCATAAAAACTGCTTGGTAAACTCACTTCTGTAACTTAAATTTGGTTAGCGAGCATATAAGCACTGACACAATCATAATCGTGTTATTATATGCAATTTGTTTATAACATCCTCCTACTGTGCACCCCTGCCTCATGCCTCCATGTCATGTGTCTCTCCCTCATTTCACCCATATTGCTGCTCCACTCACCATGCTTCTCCTAATCTGCTGATTCATCTTTATTCCTCTTTTCCACTAGTTCAATGTCACCATCTTATGATTTTCTAGATTCCTCTGAGCCCTTGCTTGTGCTCTTCCCGTGATCTGAACACCAAGCTGAAAGAATAAAAACTTCACCCGCAGTATCTCCACAGTCCTAGGGGTAGATGAGCCCTGGCTTTCATTTTTAAAGAAAATTTCATTTCATTTCATTCTAGTTTCATTTTTAAAGAAACTAGAAAAAAAAAACCTGTTTTCCTCCAACTTCTCATAGCACTATCATGAGAAGAAAACAGAGGATAAAGCCAAGATGATAAAAGGAATTATCTAAAAACAAACATACTAACTTCATTGCATCAAAAGATACCATCAACAGATGAAACGGCAATCCATGGAATGGGAGAAAATATTTGCAAATGATATATCTGATAGTGTTAGTATCCAGGATATATAAAAAACCCTTATAAGTCAACAACAAAAAAACAAATAACCCAAATAAAATATGGAGAAAAGTTGAATAGACATTTCTCCAAAGATAAACAAATGGTGAACAAGCACATGAAAAGTCATTCAGTATTAGTAGTCAATAGGGAAATGCAAACCAAAACCACAATGAGATATCACTTCACACCCATTAGAATAGTATCAAAACAAAAATAAAATAAAATAAACATTGGTAGGGATGACGAAAAATTAAAGCTCTTGTACACTGTTGATGGAAGTGCAAAATTATGCAACATTATGATGGTTCCTCAAAAAATGAAACCTAGAATCACTATATAATATAATAATTCTACTTCTGAACATATAGTCAAAAGAACTGAAAGCAGGGTCTCAAAGAGGTTTGTACCCTCATGTTCCTAGCATCATTATTCACAATAAACTAGAAGCAATCTGAATGTCCACTGATGGATAAATAAATGAACAAAATGTGGTATATGCATACCACAGGATATTATTCTACCTTAAAAAGGACTGAAATCATGTCATATGTGACAACATGGAAGGGGCTCAAGGACTTTATACTACATAAAGTAAGCCAGACACAAACAGACAAATACTTTATCATGCAGTTTATAAGAAGTACCAAGAGTAGTTAAATTCATAGAGACAGAAGGTGGTGGTTCCAGGGTCTGAGGGGAGGGGAAAAGGGAAATTGTTGTTTAATGGGCACAGGGTGTTGCAAGATGAAGAAAAGTTGTAGAGATTGATTGCACAACATGAATGTGCTTAACACTGCTGAAACATATGCTTAGAAATGGCTTAAAAAGGTAATTTTATGTTATGTGTATTTTATTACGATTTAAAAAATATGCTGTCTTCCTTCCACTCACCCCACTCTGGTGCATCCCTCTTAGCTTTCTCATAAAGGTCTCTCCTGTTGATTGCAGCAAAAATCCACACTGCCATGGCCCATGCCTTCTCCTCACCATTGAAGTCAATCATCAGAGTGGCCAGATCCATGTGGTCGGCTTTCTCTGTCTGACTCCGAGGGAGTGGTCGACACCCTTTCTGAGAAGGATAGTCTTGTAAGTGCATCTTGAACTTCTTAAAGTCTGCATCCTCCAGATCCTCCAGGTAACGGGCCAGCTTGCAACGGACACTAGCCATGTTCATCTGTGGCTTTTCTCAGGGTCCTTGTGTAGAGATCCACACCAGAAAGCTAGATGGTGAAAACAGTGCACATGCAAGGAGAGTCTTCTAAAAATTCTATCCTCTTTAGAGAGAACTAAGCCATGAAAAACCCACAATACAAAGAAAAAAAAAAATATATATATATATATATATAACTGAACTTTAATGAGATGCCATCTTTAGTTTTGAAAAGTGACCCAAATACCCACCACAAGGTTTTCCTGTTGGCTTGACTCAGGGGTGTGTCCTGAGCCATGGAAAAATGGTGTCCCTATGGAGAGAAACAGTAGTTAAACCTACAAACGCAATCATGTCCACAGTACTATATGTCCAAACCACTTCACAATGTCCCCTCAACATACGGGGAGAACTTTGTTCTTACTGTTTCCTGGGCTGTGTTCTAGGACAAACTCTTCCTCAGCTTCTGTTTCTTCATCTATAAAATGACAGAATGGAAAATATGCCTTTTCTGTTCCTTCCAACTGAAAGGCTCTGGTTCCCTGTTTCTGTTTTGACCCAGGAAGTGAGTAAGTATAATTGTAATAGAGCAGCACGTGGCTAGACAGAGAAAGGAGAAGACAGACACGCACAGAGAAGGGGATGGTCTTCGACTGCACTTCCATCCATCTATTGATAGAAACAAATGAGATGACATTTGGGGTGCATAGGGGGAATGATAAACACACGACACCTCCTTGAGGTCTCCTGGCAACATTAACAATCATAGTCATTGTTAGAGCTCATGGTTACTGAGAACCTCTCACGGGCAGGACCCTGCACTAATGTGTTTTCTTAACTCTTGCAAAGCCCTAGGAGGTACACATAGACCTAGACCCACTTTATGGAAGAGGAACCGAGTCTTAGGAGAAATTAAGTGAGTTGCCCACGGTTTCCAAAAAAAAGGGGGGGTTCAAAACCAGAATTTAGATCAGGGTCACTGATTTCTGAACTTATGTCCCTAAATACTACTTTCACAGCATGAAAATGTCCGTGACTCTTTCATCCACCACCTACCTAGATTCCTTAGTCAGATACCAACAAACAAGATCAAAAATAAAATAAAATAGATGATTAAAAGTCAAAAAACACTTTCCCGGCATTTATCACACACAGCATCTTATTACAGAGTTCATGATCTGTTTTACCACATAGACTTAGGGTTCACAAAGAGCAGAGGTCAGCTGCTGTGTCTTTCTCTGTTCTATGTCTCCCATATTTTGGATTAATGCATACTTTGGCTTTGTTTGGGATCAATCCCCTCATATTACTGAATTCGGGAAAGCACACCGACCCAAAGCCATAAATGATGTTAACAGGAGGAGAGGGCCTATGGAGCTGTGGAACAGTGCATGTGGGAATTTAGTGTGACCGCAGTGAGTGTGCAAGAAAACTGAAGCATGCTCACCTCTCCTTGTACCTTCATCTTGCCTCTCATTTTTGGCTCCACACAACCACCAAGTCCATTACTTATGCATTTGAAAGGGAGGTGGGGCATGTCCAGATAGATCCATCAGTTTTACAGACCTTCCCAGGTCCCCCTCCATCAGTCTTTCCACTGACACCAGGACTCTACCTCTCCTCTGTGACCCCTATCCCTAAGTCTCATGCACCCTATCCTGACTTTTACCTCCTGTGTCCCTTGGTGTCCAGGACATTTATTTCCTCATACACATCCACTCTTTGCGGGAGGCATGCTTGGCAAATCTGCTGCAGTTGTGGGTGTAAGCTGTACACTCCTTCCCTCACCCCCTGCCCCTACACACACACACACACATACACACACACTTGCATACATGCACAATAATGAGAAACATAAAAGGAATTTCCAGAATCATTGTTGAAGGGCAGACTTGGAAGCGGTCAGAAGAAATCCTTAGTGTATTAACCAAGACAACTCTGGCCCTCAACATCCCCTCCTCATTTCTCCCCAGACCTTTCCAGCCATGCAGCTCCACAGAGCTGGACTCACCCAGACGACAGCCTCAGAAACAGCCCAAGAGGAAACTTGATGCATTTATAATGGTCACAGATCAGCAGGAGCAGGAAGGATGTGGCTTCAGCATGGAGTGAACAAGCTTGCATCACAGACAAAGCCAGAGACTAACAGTTACTCATATAGCTGGATTTTCCAAACCAAATGAATAGTGTTCTTATCTCTGGCTGTAGTCAGAGATGTCTGCACTGTCCTCAGTGGCCATTTGGGGTAGGGATGTTCCCTCTGGGTCTCACAGCGGCCATGGGAGGGTTCTGATGGCAGAGAACAGAGTGGGATGGAGGATTCTGCCAGGGCTGGCAAGTACCAGCCATCAAGCCATCAGATGGAGGCCGATGGCAGGCAGTAGGCTCTCCGCATCACCTGTCACTGTCTGTAACCACCTTACTGAAGTGAGAATACGCTTGTGAAAACATCACCTCCACCAGACCACATTTATCTCCTCCCAAAGTTTCCTAACACCCTTGTATTATTATTGTTATTTTATCATTACTTTTTTGTGTGTATGGTAAGAACACTTAATACAAGATCTACCTTTTAGTAAATATTTAGTGCACAGCACAGAATGATCAGTTATGGGCACTGTGCTGCACAGCAGATCTCCAGGACTCGGTCATCTTGCATCACAAAAACTTGGTTACCCTGACCGATACTTCCCCAGTCCTCCCTTCCCCAGCCCATGGCCACTACCATTCCACTCTCTGTTTCTGTAATTTTGACTAATTCACATTCCACATATACGTGACATCATACAGTATTTGTCTTTCTCTGTATGACTGTCACCTTTCATAATGCCCTCAAGGTCTATCCATGTTGTTGCAAACACCAGCATTTCCTTTTCTTTCATGGCTGAATAATATCCATGCTGTGTGAGATATATATATATATATAATCTTCATCCATTCTCCTGTTTATGGACACTTAGCTTGTTTCCATATCTAACTGTTGTGAGTAATGCTATAATGGACCTGGGAGTGTAGACATCTCTCCGAGACTCTGATTTCAATTCCTTTGGACAGACACAAACTCTGCTCCCTGACTCACTTACTCACTTGTTCTACAAATACTTAAAGAGCACCTGGTGTGTGCCAGGCATGTCTGCAAGCCTGAAAAGCACCTTGCTGGGCCCAGGAAGATCTGGAGGTCAGAGAAGCACCCAGACCATGTTTCCCAGCACTCATGGTGGCTGCAGGACCAGTGTGCCAGTGTCATGTGTTTCATAGAGCAGGGTGGAGGACAGGTGCTCATCTCCCCAAGCCAGTGCAGAGCCCTTGAGTGAGAGGGACATGACTCCATGTCCAGAGGAAGGGTGCTGGAAAATGGTTTTGTCTCTGTGCCAATGGCACTGAAGGCAGAGAGTTGTACTAGGGATTGAACAAATGACTAAATGAGTACAACCTAATTTAGTGAAGCTGGAGTCAGTGATTAAGTCCTGCTACTACCATTGTTATACAATTGTGTGCAGAATGTCCTGAGAGAAGAAATAGAGATACCTACTCCAACCATGGAAAGGGCAAAAGGGCAGACCTGAATGCCAAGCTCTACCGGTCCGAGGAGTAGCAAGCACTTCAGATGGTCAGGACAGAGACACAGACAATCACCTTGAACCAGAAAGCATGGAAGTTATTTATTTATTTATTTATTTATTTATTTATTTATTTATTTTAGGAAGAGACAGCCTTTCCTCTTTGTTTTCTATCTTTCTGTACTATTTGAATTCTATTCTGTTGCCATAACCAGGTATTACTCATATGAGTAAAAATAAATTAATCAGTTAATAGACACCACTTCTTCAGAGTAGATCTAAAAGAAACCTTCAATCTTTTTAAGGTGCTTTTGGGTCCTATTTGCTAGGATCTTGTTGAGAATCTTGGCATCCATATTCATCAGGGATATTGGTCTAAAATTCTCCTTTTTGATGGGGTCTTTGCCTGATTTGGGGATCACAATAATGCTGGCTTCATAAAAAAGGTCTAGAAGCTTTTCCTTCTGTTTCTATTTTTTGAAACAGCTTCAGGAGAATAGGTATTATTTCTTCTTTGAATGCTTGGTAGAATTCCCCAGGGAATCTGTCAGGTCCTGGGCTCTTGTTTTTTGGGGGGTTTTTGAACACTGCTTCAATCTTGTTACTAGATATTGGTCTATTTTGAACACTGCTTCAATCTTGTTACTAGATATTGGTCTATTCAGATTGTCGGTTTCTTCCTGTTTCAGTCTTGGAGGCTTATAACTTTCCAGAAATGCATCCATTTCTTCTAGGTTGCTTAACTTACTGGCATATAACTATTGATAATAATGTCTGATGATTGTTTCTATTTCCTTGATGTTAGTCATGATCTCTCCCCTTTCATTCATAATCTTATTAATTTGGGTCCTCCCTTTTTCCTTTTGGATTAGTTTGACCAGTGGTTTATCAATCTTATTGATTCTTTCAAAAAACCACCTTCTAGTTTTGTTGATGTGTTCTACTGTATCTCTGGTTTCTATCTCATTGATCTCCGCTCTAATCTTATTTTCCTTCTTGTGCATGGGGTTGGCTTAATTAGTTGTTAATTGTTCAGTTCTCTAAGGTGTAGAGAGAGCTGTTGTATTCTGGATTTTTCAATTTTTTGAGTGAGGCTTGGATGTCTATGTATTTCCCCTTTAGGACTGCTTTTGCTGTATCCCATGGTTTTGGACCGATGTGTCTTCATTCTCATGGGTTTCCTTAAACTCAACACACACAAAACAGATAATCACATTTAAAAATGGGCAGAAGAAATGGACAGACACTTCTCCAATGAAGACATACAAATGGGTAAGACACATGAAAAAATGTTCATCATCATTAGCCATCAGGGAGATTCAAAACAAAACCATATTGAGATACCACCTTACACCAGTTACAATGGCCAAAATTAGCAAGACTGGAAACAACATGTGTTGGAGGGGATGTGGAGAAAGGGGAACCCTGTTCCACTGTTGGTGGGAATGCAAGTTGGTGCAGCCACTTTGGAGAACAGTGTGGAGATTCCTCAAGAAATTAAAAATAGAACTTCCCTATGACCCTGCCATTGCACTACTGGGTATTTACCCCAAAGATACAGATGTAGTGAAAAGAAGGGCCATCTGTACCCAATGTTCATAACAGCAATGGCCATGGTTGCCAAACTGTGGAAAGAACCAAGATGGCCTTCAGTGGACGAATGGATAAGGAAGATGTGGTCCATATACACTATGGAGTATTATGCCTCCCCCAGAAAGGATGAATACCCAACTTTTGTATCAATATGGACGGGACTGGAAGAGATTATGCTGAGTGAAATAAGTCAAACAGAGAAAGTCAATTATCATATGGTTTCACT